ATGCGCTTCCTTCCATCCAAAAAGAAGAGTCCTCGCTTCGTCGTACCGTTTTTGCTTCAGTCGGGTGTCGAACTTGTCGCGGCTCTGATGTCGCGCCTTATGTGTAAGAGAGGAAGGTTGCTCCCTCCGCTTTCTGTACTGTCACAGGCAGGTACCTTTACACCTTGATCATGACTGACAAGACGAAGGCGGAGAAACTGAAGTGGCGCAGCCGCATCTTCAGCTTTCGGTAGGAAGCATTTTCTTAGAATGAGCCGTCGGCAAAGGCAGTCGTTGCCTCCATCACTGCAGAAGAAGGAGATTTGAGTTTGGCGGCCACCAGACGGAGACTCTCAGCAACGTGCGGGCAAAAATGGCTTTTGCTTTCTACATGAATGTGGGACACTTCTGCAGGCTGTGCTTAGAGCTGATAGCTTATCTGCTTCCATGGCGCAGGCACGAAGCGGTACAACAGCACGAACAACCAGACGAGGCTGAATCAGTGCACGGCTTGGACATATCGTGTAGGTCATGATCGAAAGCGAAGCACAGAGGTCTGTGCTTCTCGCGAATCAGGAGGATGTGGCACCTTGGCTGAGTTCCAGTTCTAGTCGTTTGCAAGCGACGCGTCCTCGTGCTCACGAAGAAGAGCTTCTCCGTGTGTGTCGGCCCGAGCCACTCAGTGGGCCTTAGGAGAGGGGCTTCGTTGAGTGCTGCTATGGCTCTCCGACACACCGTGGGTGGCACATGACTGAAGCGTTCGTGGTTCACTTGCACTCCAATGCTGGGCTCTGCCTCAGTGACGGCTTGGCACATGCGGGTCACTTTAGCAGTGGCCCTGCAAGTGTTCGTGGGGGCACTTGATCCTCTTGATGCAGAGCCCCCGCCTGTTGAGACGCCCCAGCGTGAGTCAAGCAAGGAGTCGGGCGACATCGTTGCACTTCGTCTTTTCAGTCCTGTGCGGTCTACCACACAGGAAGCTATCAAAGCCGAGGTTATTGCCGCCGAGGCAGCATTGGAGATGCGGGCTGAAGTTGATGGTCTGCCGGTAGTCTATGATTCCCCGGCCGTGTCAATCTCTCTCCGAAGAGTTAGCCCAGATGCTCTAATGCAAAACGGGGCAGAAGTTGAAGCTCCCGATGGTGCCTCTGTTAAGATACCGGCAGATCCACGAATCAAGGGCCGACACGGTGGCCCGGTCACAGTGACGGTGACCAGCTACCATGCTGGCGACGCTGTCAAGGAGATGCCGAAGGTAAAGTATGGAGCACAGCAGCAGATGCGAGCTGATCCAGATCTCAACACTGAACACAATTCAAGCCTTGAAGAACAGGCGAATGCGTCAAACCAGACCCAAAATGGGACCAAAAATGATCGTGTCGATTTCTTTATGACGAAAACCAGCGTTAGCTGGCGAGGCACTGTCGATGTGAAGGTGCCTGGGTTGTCAGCTCAGGTTCCTGCACACGATCGCCCTTGGACTCCGTATGGCGAGAGCGTGCTCTACCCTGAAGAGAAAGCAGGAGTTCGGGAAGAATTGGAACGCCTGGCAGCGTTGCAAGACAATGATGAAAGGCTGCGCGGATGCCGTAAGCTGGCAAGACAGTGGCATCCAGACAAGCATCCACCTGAAGACCGTGAGAAGGCCACCGAAATCTTTGAGTACATGCAGGAACTGCGTTTGGCCTTGGGCTTGTCGGCGAGGGGCCATGGAGAAGACTCTCAGTCGTAGTGATGCAATCGTGGTGGACCCAAGCGGGAGCTCAGCCTGGAAGATGCCTACCGTGTTTGGTGCTGTGGCGACAGGGGTGGCAGCCCTATCAGCAGAAGCTCAAGGTGCACCCTTGTCGCGGCCGCGTGGCCGCTTGGTGCTTGAGTTGTTGCTACGAAGGCGGCTCAAAGCACAGGCGAGAAGCAAAAAGTGAGGGCTCGCCCTTTTATGTCCTGGCAGCTCCAAGCAGTCCAAGCAGGTGGAAAGAATGTACCGTTGTGACGAATCAATCAGTGCCAGGTTGAACCTGGGAAGAGCTTTTGCGGACAGGCTGGAGAGTGATCGAAGCAACGTACGTGGTTTCTTGACATTTCGATATGACCCTTTCTGTTACACTCCTGCAAGGTCTCGCCATGGTTGCACTCTGCTGCGCTGGCCTACCAGTGCGAAGTCCGCGAGCATGGAAGCCTTGCTTTCTGCTGCCGCGTGACTGTAGGATAAAGTGCAGTTCCATGAACAAGTTTCGACGCAAGCCCGTGACTCAAGACGGCATCGCTGGCATCTCTTCTGGAACTCGTGGTTCTTGAAGTGCCGGAATGATCTTGAGCACGCCTGGTGGTGCCACGGGGCAACGTTTGCATCTTTTGTTATGATATGCCGCCTGTAGCCCCTTCTGGGAGACTGTCACATTGCTTAGGTCTCCTAGCATTTTTTGCGGCACCAGCACACGATGCAAGCTGCCACTGAGAATGCGGCATTTGATGAATGGAATTCGAGCCAAGCTGAACCCACCATATGGATGTGCTGCAGTATTTGTAGCCAGCCCTACGTCCCACATCCCAAAAGTAAGTGTGTGAGTGTGTGTGCCTTTTTTTTTGAGAGTGTGTGTGTGTGTGTGCGTGTGTTGCCTGTGCAATCGGCAAGGTGCAATATGTTGACGCCTCGTTGTTTTTTTGAGTTACTTAAGTTGGAGTTTGCTTGTGCGAGCATCCAAAATTGCAAGGTCAAGTGGATGCAGCAGTTTTGTTTCGTGGTCGCGTGAGGAGTTTCTGCAACTCCTGTCTCAGTCCTGCTGTACAATACAGAACGGTGCCTCGACCATCTGATGCAAAAAGCGCTGAGCTGCCGTCGAATTCTATGGCTTTTGCCCTTCAAACGTGTGTGGTTGCCTTGCCACTACAGCAGGACTTGGCTTCTTCAGCATTGGTTCGCACATATGGTAGATCCCCATCGCCAGAAATCAAAGTTGCGTTTAGCGACCCGGCATCCAAACACAAAGGAGAACGGACGGAGTGAGTTTATGTTTAGCGGACAACAGAGACACATGCAATATCACTTGTATGTGAGCAGTGGCAATTCGAGCAACAGCTGCTTACCCACGAAGCTGAGAGAATGAATCAGCCTATCCCATGGCGCTTGTTGATTCCAAAGGACTCTGTCCCCACTGTGTGTGGTACGGACAGGAGCCAGCCCTGGCAACATCCAGCTGGCGCAACAGTGCCGCTTTGCGAGCTTGATTCGTTCGAATATGCAGAGACACACACCCACACACACACACACAAGCTGCCGCGCAGTTTGGCTGAGCACGGCATCCGTTTTTGCGACTTGGTCGAGGTCTGTGTCGACGGAGCATGAGGCACCAACATCCTTAAGCTGCTTGAATGGGTTCGAGAAGATCTCATGGCAGTGTTCACACATTAAAGCAGCAGACAGTGTATCGTCCAAACGCTGAGGTGACAAGATCTTGACTATAACAGGAACCAGGGAGCAGAAAGAGCAAGCGTTGACTAGTATTGTTGCCGACCTATTGGAATTTCAAGGACTTCTGCTTGCAGTTAACTTGTTGCAGCACCTGCTCGTCTGGAGCGTTGAATGGGAAATCCTTTCGGCATTTCCAGGAGTTCCCGAAGATTCACCTGATATTTGCGTGCTTGTGATGCCGTCGTGTGCAATCGGTGCGGTGATTGGCACTAAAGGGGCCAAAATCAGAAACTCGGTGCTACTGGAAATGCTTGTACAACAAGGATCCCAGCTTCGAAGGAGGTGATGTCACGGTCTCGACTCAGACAGCAGTGGCTGAGGTGAAATCATGGCAGAGTCTGGCACTGTCGGTTGCCTTAGTTGTGCGGCTTGCTCCCAGGGGGCTCCCAGCCTTAGGCCAATGCATTTTTAGGAGATCTTTGAAGCAGAAAGTCCTTCGAGGACATTGACGTCGGCAGAGAATGCATCACGGGGATGCCTGACAATCCAGTTGCCTCCTGGCCACGATATATAAACTGACACATGTGAGTTTGAACTTGAGTCAGCACTCAGGTGTTAAAAGGGCAGCGCTCACAGATTGTCAGAGCAGCCCTTCGATTGCATCGCTAGGTTAGTCCACTGTAGCACGATGGTTTATGTTCAATTTTCTGCGCGTTCACAGCGAGAGTCGCATGCTGCAAGCTGTCGCTGCGCGGAGGCAGTGCTCGCCAACGATGTGTTGCAGGACTTGGCCGACAAGGGCCGTGTAAATGCCGATGACTTTCGGTACGTCCCGGGCCGAACACCGGCGCCGAGGCTTGGCAGTCGCGGAACATTCTCTTCCTGCGCAGCCGCGCGGTTCCTTTTCGACAAAGAGTTCGCAGGGTTCATAATCGGAAAGGGTGGTGAAAAGATCACGAGAATCCGAGATCAGACTGGGGCGACACTACAGTTTCGAGGTTCTGCTGAGGAGGTGGCACTCTTCCTGGGTCCGGATGACCGCATTCTAGACATTCGTGGAGCTGCGACACAGCGCAACCAGGCAGTCGAATTCTGTTTCAAGGAAATGGAGTCCGCCCCGCAGCCCATCCAGGAGACGCGTGTCTTCATCCCTCTAGCTGTGCCAGAGGCGCCACTGGAAGAAACAGTGGCGAGAACTGGGGCATCGTGCAGCCTGTCGCAGGACGTGCACATCACCAGCCCAGAGAGTGCAGAACGCATAGTCCGACTGGAGGGTGCACCGTCAGAGCGGCTCGCCGCAACTCTGGGCCTGCTTGCGAAGGCAGATGAGTACGCAACTGCAAGTGTGCCATCAGCACGTCCCCCTGTGGCAGCTGTGGCACCCCGTACGGACCGTCCCAATGGCATTGCTGCACCTTCAGTGCCATCAGCATTAGTGGCACAAAGCAAGGAGGAAGATAGCAGTGAGCAGCGGATAGAGCCAGAAACGGGCAAAGCATATACCTTCGCAGAATTTCGGGTAGCTTTTGCCGGCACGTATTCCGAACAAGACATCTGCGACTATTGGCGAGATGCCTGCACGCCAGTTCAGAAGCGAGAGCGAGGCGAAGGTTCTGCGGGCCCTGGGCACGTGGATCACGCGGACCACGTGGATCCGGAGCCGGTGCAAGTGCAGGCAAAGCTCTCCAACCAACACCAGCCCGATGGGCCGGGTTCGGAGCATGCCAACCTAGCAGATTGCAAGGAGGTCAAGGAGGCCGACCTGAGGACCAGCCCTCCGGAGCAGAAAGCCTCAACGGACCCAGCACCGTGGCTCGGCCGAAATTTTTGTAAGATGTGCAGAGTCCGGCAAGATGAGGGAGCATGTGCTAAGGTCGAGGGATGTTCCGAGCAGCGCCGCGGTCTCCCTTCCCCAATGGCGTGCCTGGCAGAAAATCAGCCTTCCAGCCTTGTTGATGTTACTCGTGACTTGGAAGTTTGTAGGTAGCTTAGGAATGAGGAGGTTCCCAATCAAGGGGTGAGGTTTGCACGCCCTGGAGCTGTCATTCATGGACTGGAGATGATATGCAGGCGAGCACCTGGTGGAAGCTCCGCGGTCACAGCTGCATGTCGTCTTGCCAACTGCCCTAGTGAAGGGCCCATTGGTCCAGCAGGGGTTCTTGGCTGAGATAGCTACCCGGCTGGAGGAATGAATAGGATGTGATATGGGCGAAAGCATCGCACCGTCAGAAGCTCTTCATCCCTGCTTTGCCAAGGCCGTGGGTTGCCATGTTCAGATCGACGTTTGTGGCGAGATCGCTTCGGGGCAGCTACACGTGATCCTGTGTCTTGGGTGGAACCTAAAAACTTCAAGCTGGGACACAGACCTTGTCTGAACTGATGTGATCTAGTTACTAGTTGCAAATCGGCAAGTACTGTAGCCCGATCCCGGGTCTTCTTGTGCTGAGCTTTCTTCTTGGACTCGGGGTCCCACGATTGTCAACTGTTTGCTCGTCTTTGTCGTCAGCCGTGCCGGTTGCCGAGCCAGCAGCACAGAGCTCGTCTTGGCTGAGGTCAGGCACTGGCGCAGCCAACGCCATGGCCGTGGTCGCACTCCAGATGCGTGCATGGTTTGCTGGTGGCCTCTAAGCAGGCGCTTACAATCACCACAACCGCCGCGTCAGGTTCACGAGCAGAGCCAGATGTAAAAAACAGCTGGATGGTGGACATGACATGATCATTAAAGTAGAGAAAATTGAAGACTGCTTGAGACATGGGATTGCTGAGCACAGAGTCCGTGCACCTAGGTGGTCCTGGTTTGGCTCTCCATACTTGTTATAGTTGATCAGTTACGTAAAGTGTCTCTGTCCGCATGTGGCGACATGCCGAAGAGCAGTTCGCTTGAGCATGTCTACGCTTGTCATGGCCGTTGGTCGAGCTCTTGGTTGTTCAGTCTTACCAGAAACTTAACAGTTGAAAGCAAAGAGCAGGTCTGGGGGTTGAACTTAACGTGGCTGATGTTTGTGCCACGCTGCTGGACCGTCTAGCTCCAAGCAATTCCCCGTAACGCCGCACTCGGAGCCGAAGCTCCACAAAACTTCCTTCATGCCTTCACCTGGCCGCTAGTAATGCCATGACCTCAAGAGAAGTTGTAGCAGAGGGTCATGTTGAAGCACTTCCTGACAAGCAGCATGTGCAAGTTGGCAGATGTGACAATTCGATCATCTTTGAAGCAGATAGCGCCTGTTGAGCCAGCAGTTCCGCAAGGTGTGCAGGTGATCCGACGGTCCCGTCTCCAGATGTTAGGCCCGAAGTGCTGCTGACCAGAGCAGCAGTGATGGGCTCTGAGACTGGGGCCGTTGCAGCCCACAAGCTTGATGATGTCATGAAGAGACGAAGGGAGGTCTGCGCAGAGTTCGAGTCCAACCCTGCTGCCACAACAGCCGATGCAACGTGTGCCATCAAGAACGGATACAGCTGGAATCCCAACACTTCCGACATGACCCAGAAGAGGCAGCCAACATCCGACATGCAGCTGCAATCGCTGCTTTCCGAAAGGCGTGGGAGATGCCATGTTCTAGAAAGCAGCCCAGCCCCGGTAATTGCAGACGCGCTGTGGAATCGGACGCCAGCGCCTCTACAGGCATACCAACATCATTGCAGGACAACTGCCACGGAGCATGCAACAGGGCTGCGATCGGAAGAACATCCGCAGGGCCTTGATGCGACGCCATCCATGCCTTCTCGAAATTATGGCATGGAAAAGCCTTTAGAAATCAAGTGGTCCAGCTGGTTAGATGCACTACAGGCCCGTCTCTCTGCTGTGGAATCCAGCAACATACAACAGGCAGTGTCCTTTTTGTCGGGGTCTCTCGCCTGAGGTGGCTGGATCTTCACACAATCCTGATCAATCTGAGAAGGCGCGTCCTCTTGTAGCTGGACGTCAGGGGTCAAAGGGGCCACGAGTGCATCGCAGGCATCAGCTGCGACGGCGCGCTTGCTGCAGCTCATTGCCTGGCACGATGACACCCTCACCACCAGCCTACGCAGGACACAAGGGCTACCTTTGTGTGGATTGGCTTCAGGAGAAATGTGGTCTTTGCTTTTCTGACGAGCGCCTTGCCGAAGGATGCTTGCTGAAGCCTTCGTGCGCAAGCATCTTTCCTTCCTCAGTTTCGAACAAGACCATTTGGATGCAGTCATTGTCGTCCTTCTGCGCTACCACAGCCCAGCTACTTGTCATGCAAAGTCACAGCCTACTAGAAGTCTGGTGCCTGCCTGTGCGCCTCAACTGAGGCAATGCTGCCCAGACTTGTAGGCCCAGTTCCTTCGACAGAGACGGAAGGGGGTGAGAGTACCGCTGGCTTGCTTGATCAAGCGGCTGCTAGCCCGGTGCTCGATTTACTTCTGGGCAGGCCGTGCATGTCGGGATTAGAATGCGAAGACGCTTCTGCTGCACTGGCGCTGCTGCAGATCTGCGATGAGACGGTGCGAAGTGGAAGCGAGATAATTCTTGTGTTCGTCATCGTCGCTGTGTTGGCTAGTCCTGACTTGTCCTTATCGGACAGCAAGTCTGCGCTTCTGCTGTGGAGTTCCGCAGAAAGCTTGTTGGCTTCGACTCCTCGCTCGATGCTTGGAAGCCTGGCGGCTGGGGCGCGTGACCAGGCCCTGCGTCTGCCCGTTGGTTCTGTTGCGGCCGATGAGGTTCTCCATCATGTCTATGAGCGTCCAGACAGCCAGTGGCGACTTGTTGTTGTAGACATCCGAGACTCAAGTTTGGCCAGTCTCCCGGTCTGTTTGCGATTGCCGGCAGCCTCGAATTTTGAAGAGTTTGCAGCGAGCCTCCCAGCCGAGCACGCCCTTCACTTCTGCATCATTGCAGATGATCCGTTAGAGGCCTTGAAGCTGTGCCTCCACATTTCAGGACCCAGTGGGGCCTGTCGACCCCACATATCCCTGGCTGAAGGTGGCTGGCGGGCGGTCGAAGAGCTAGCGCTAGCCCTAGGCCTCGAGCTTTTGCCAGGAGTCAGGGAATGCACTGAGATGGACGAGGCCGACAATGCGCACGGAATTGCTGGTACAGTAGTTGAAGTTGCCGAACATGTGGCATCGCTGACATCTGTGGCAGCATCAGTAGCTTTTAGAGGTGCTTTCTGGGCCACAGGCGTCCATGCAACAAAGCATGGAGCGGAGATTTATACCGATGAATTAATGGAAGTGTGACATGCAGCTTTTTGTACATAGGTTTGTCAATGCTCCGCAGAATCAGCGGAACTTCTTGGGGAGATGGCTCCTCTTGTGGTGGTGGGAGCACTTAGTGTGTTTCTGGACACGTGTGCCTTCCGTACTTGCATGTGAAACCATCGCAGGGCTTTCTGGCAGTTCGAAATTTATCCCGGGCACTGTCGATTGTTGGATTCACAGTTCTGGTTTGTATAGTATTGGTTTCGTGACGCGAGAATAGGTGAGCGAGCATCCTAGATCTTCTCAGACCGTGCAACCTCGCCATGTCGGCATCCATCTGACGGATCCGCTCTTGGGTCCGCAAGTGGACTTTAGGAGGGTCGAGAGCATCCCAGTTGAGTCTGCCGAATGTCTTCACATGTCCTCTCCATGCCGTCTATGCCCATTGACTCTTGAAATTTGCTGCCAGCCACGTTGCATGTTTTGAACCGCTGGCTTTAAGAAGGTTTTCGCCGCTTTGATCAAACATGTTTCTGAGCCCTGTTCCACGAAGCTGTTTGGCACTGACGCCTTTCACTGATCCTGCCGCAGTCTTGTACGTTGTAGGTTGTAGTTTTTGCCTGCCTCGATGCGTAACTTAAATTTGCAGGAGCACATAGTGGCAAGCAGACTTATCATCGGAGTGATGCACAGGTCTTGGACGCACAGTGGGCTGGGGGAACAGACTAGGCAGCTTCCAAGAACATAGGCTTTTTTGACTCAAAGCGAAAGCTCCTCACCTACAACAAGCGTCAAAGACTTGTTGAGCAAGAAGATGCAAACAACGTAATGCCTCACTGTATCATAAACATCATGGCTCAAACCAGTCTCAAGCACAGGAGGTACAACATGTGCAGAGGTCCATGACTGAGCCAGCAGGAGCTGCCAAATCCTGAACAACTGATAATGTTGAACGCCGTGCTTTGTATCCCAGATGAGGGTCCACACTCCCTGAACGTAAGCTAGCCCATCTGACAGCAACCATGGTGTATGTTTTTGCACAAACCGCTGCCAACGCGAGAAGTCACATCTTCTGACTACGTGTATCGAAGTAAACCCACTTGTCAATTCGAGCGCCATAGCTTAGGAAACGTTGGGGTTCAGGGTAAACCATTTGAAGAGTCACTGCACCATCCGGGGCCCTCAGAGCCGGCAACGGCGTATTTTGCACGCGCAAAACCTGACCAATGCAGTTCCAAGTGGCAACGTGAGAAGCACAAGAGCCTAACTGCGTTTCGGGTTGCATGTTTAATTAGCAGGCTTGATGTGGCAGAAACAGGTGAAGTTCAATGACCATGATGCACACCTTGCGTGAGTTGCAGAACTTGTCCATGGCGTCCATGCTGAAGTGACAGTCTACATTGCTTGTTCGAGTCTGCCTGCACGGCGATCAGTGGTTTGCCAAGCTATGCCAGACCTCAATATTAAGACCCAAAATACAATATCAATATATATATATATGCGCATATGCACACAATTTTGTTGGCAACGCCACTAATTTTCAACAGCACTTCATTTATCGACCCCTCAATCCTGACTTTTTTCTCATAGAATTTTCTCAATACTTCAATTGCGATTTCGAAAAATTCTGGAAGATAAGATATGGGACCACGGGTCCTTATTTGGACCGGTCGAGAATTTTAGAAGACTTGATTGAATTGAATATTATCTTTATTCAGGAAATTATGTTAAAATTCTTTATAGATAATATCATAATATGATTTAGATGATAATCTAATGGAAAATATTTTTATTTTTGTTATTCCACATATTCTCGAGATTCTAGAAATATATTTTTTAGATATGATTCGAGAAATCCATTATAATAAAACGATATTTTTTCTATATTTCGATGATTCAAAATATTCGAAATTATTTTAGAGTTGAGATATTTTTGGAAAATATAGAAAATTTAATAATTGAAATTTATATAATTATATAATATTATTAAGATAAATAAAAAATTATTGAATATTTAAAAACTTTTGCCATATTTTATTTCTATGATGTTGATTTTTTAAAATTTTTTTGAATATAATAAAATGAATTTAATAGAAAATACTTATATTTTCATATCTAAAATTTAAAAAATAAATGAAAAAACTATATAATATTGTATTACTATTAAATATTTTCGATTAGATAAATAAGTATCTAAAAATTTTAGAATTCTTAGAAATTGCAGAATAAGAAAATAAAAATAAATATAAATCTATTAAATAGAATAAAAAATAAAATAAGATATTATTCTATATAATTTTTTCTTATTTCGAAAAAATTTTTTATGAAGATTATATAGAATATTTAATTTTTATATATTTTCTAAAAGAAATTGATGAAAATTTATATAAGTCTAGAGAAATTTATATATATATATATGAGGCATTTAATTCTCTAATAAAACGGTGTCGTGCTGGTCGCCTCCGTTTTTTTGTGCGCGCCCCTGGCCGCTGGAACCTCGTACTTCGGCGCGTTTCCTTTTGAAAGCCTCTTGCGTGCCTCTCTCGCGGTACTAAAATTTCGGAAATTTTAGTACCGGGAGCAATTTCTACTAAAATTTCCGAAGTTTTGTGCCTTTAGGAAATCTCGCAGTAGTAAAATTTCGGAAATTTGGGTTGCTCGAGCGGGACACGCTCCCG